CCGAGCTTTTTAGCCTTAACTACGGAAAGTATCGGAATGCATTAAAGAGTATATCAACATGGCAAACATTCTCTATGCCTAATCCTTTCTCACGTTAAGATCTAGAAGCAAGGGTTGTGGAAATTAATGCTGAGTAAAACTGGTCAGACTGCAAGAAACCTACGCCCCAGTGGCTACAACGTTTTTGCTCACCGGCGTGATCAGAGTTTTTTCACCCACACCCCGAGCTTTACAGCCTTAACGATGGAAAGGGTCGGAACGCATTAACCTTTTTATACAAAAAGGGGAGAAGAGCTAAAAATCTGTTTGGCCATAACAAAATTTAAGAGCTTGTCCACTTATTACAAGTTCGCCACCTGACTTATCTACCTAACTAATTTCTTGGGGGATGATCTTATCCTCTATCTCGGCAGGTAAGTCCTGTGCCAGAGGGGCCACCTCCTTCTCGATGTCATCTAGCTCGAAATCGGTGTAGACAGGCATGAGAACTATCACAGGTAAGGGAGGGATACGGAGCTAAAAACGCTCCTATGGCCCATTCAGGCCCAGGAGTTCGAAGGCTGGCCCTCCGACGGGTTCACAGCCGCTTCGGGGTGCCCTTAGAGTGAGGGGTGGAAAGGGATGGGCCCACTAGCGGCCAGTACCTAGGCACATGAGCGTCATGGGCATCCCGGCCTACATTTGAGTCTTGGTCGGTTCCCAGTCCATGGTTTTACCTCGAAGAAAGGCAACGAGCCCTTGGGACCGGTCGAACGGACCCGAGAACTATATGGATTGGCCACTGAGAATCTAGAGTAGGTCATCAGCTGACCCATGCCAGACCCCTATGAACGGGAAGCCAGGGCCCCACTCAGACTAGCCCGTTAATAACTCACCGAGCACCATGTTTCGTCCATCGAGGGAAAACGTAGCACGGCTTAGCCCCTCCATTTTATAGAAAAAATGCTTGAGGGATGATGATCACAAAGACAAGCCGACCCTTGACCGGACCCCTGCTACGCACGGGGGCTCGAGGGAAGTTGGACTCGCAAGAAGACCGAACGCGTGGTCACAGTATGACGACAAACCGATCGGATCCTAGGAGACCAGAATCAAGAAAAATCTTTTCGACCTTCCAAATCCTACGGTTACATGCCCCCAAGAAGACCGATCGCGATAAAAGGGAATCGTCGTCCTACCAGGACACGCCATGGGCTACAAAAAGAAGGCCAAGGCCCTCAGAGTTCTCCCATCCGAAAAAGGCTCCAAAGGAGTATTCTACTCCTCCGTAGACTCGGGGGTTACTGTCGGGTATCGATATTAGGGATATCCAGAGCAAGGAAGTTAGCGTCCACGCTGACTTCCTCGGATGGCTCGAGACATATTAAAAGGTCTCGCCCGACCCCAAGGCCACGGGCTCTATCTCGCTCGACCTCGAGGCCGTGGGCTCTGTCTCGTCCGACCCCTTGGGTGCAGGCTCCGTCTCGCCCGACCCCAAGGACATGGGTTCCGTCTCGCCCAAGGCCACGGGCTCTGTCTCGTCCGACCTCGAGGCCGCGGGCTCCGTCTCGTTCGACCCGTTAGGTGCGGGCTCCGTCTCGCCCGACCCCAAGAACGCGGTTTTAGTCTCGCCCAAGGTCACGGGCTCCGTCTCGTCCGACCTCAAGGACACGGGTTTCGTCTCATCCGACGGGGACCCATACCGTCGCCAACCACTCCAGGTCCAAGCGTATGGGCCTAGGTTAAAACTCTGACGCCAGGGAAGAGGCTGGCATACCTCGATGTAACCCATGGCCATGACAGGCCATACCTGGGGATTCACATCAAGAACAGTATCAGGCGTGCCGGTGCTGTTTTGCCTAATCCTCATACGGACGCTGACAGACGCGTCAATTCACCATGACGTCTGTCGGGACGGAGTGGAAAGCCATGACCGGTAGATGACGCCTGCGCATGGCACCAGTGACGAACAGGGCCGCGACATGGAGCCATCCCTGTTGACATCTACAGGATCGACGAGACCCGCATGAAGGAGAAGAAGGACCCGGCAACCCTGGAAGCCTTCTTCTCTCTCGTTCTTCTCCTTTTCCTCCTCTGTAAACCCGCGCTTTCCCTTCGCCTATAAAAAGTGAAGCAGGGCGCCTCATGAAAGGCGGATCTAGACACAAAAGCACGACACGAGCACACGGTTGAGCGGCAAGCGAGCTATCAGCACCCGTTCACTCCTTCCACCAGAGACTTGGGATCCTCTCCCTCTCTCGCCTGTTTGTAACCCCTACTGCAAACCAACTACCGGTAACACGAGCAACAGCGAACTGGATGTAGGGACGTTCCGTTCGAACCAGTATAAACCCTTATGTCCTCCGAGCACACTATCCGAGCCAGACGCGCAAATACAAATTTACTCGTCGGTGGTCCGAAAACACCGACACTTTCCTATAGTAGAAATGCAAGATATAAGCATCTCTCCTTCAAGGCTAATAATAGTATACAAATATATTCCATATACAACCATATTAGTTTAATTAATGTGTCTAAATTATAATTTATTAGAATGAATTCAATTCCAATGATTCAAACGGGGCTTATATTAAACAATCGTCCAATCATGTGTCACACATATATTAAATGCCATGACTAGCATCTAAAATAGCAAAATGAAAACAATGCATAAAAAAGATTGTTTAGTTCATCCAATGACACTAGATGACATGGCACTTTGAAAGCAACATATTCCCTCCGTTCTAAAGTACTTGATATTGAAGCATTCAAATTTTGTTTAAAATAGTTGTCATTCTCACTTCACAATGTAGATTTATCTCCTCTCAGTATATCTTTTTTTTTTCTTTTCCAATACATTTCTATCTCTACTCTTTTAGGAGTATTTTGGTTTTTTGCCTCCTGCATTGGTCTCCATCAAAGAGTCTAAAACGTCAACTATTAGGGCGTAAGAAATGGGAATACAAATTGCTAGAAACGTATTTTATTCATTGTTGAAGAGAGAGTGTCGAAAAGGAAAGCGTTAGCGAGCTCTCAAGCAGTTAGCTCGTACAATCTCTAATATTATCTGTGTCACTGCTCTCCCCTCCTTTCTGCTACCCTCTCATGATACTTCAGATTTTTTTTCGTATTTTATTTGGTTTGAGCCGGCGATTTGTAAAGTTCGTTGGGGACGTCCTTATGAGACGGAGGGGGTAAAGCTCTCCAATAAACATTAGTCTAAAGGCAAAGTCAACGTTTACCTCGCTTGTTCAAATAATTCTAGCGGTAAAACATGTGCCGTATATTCTATGCCCCCCCTGGTTGCCAAAACGGTCATTTTTAACCCTACCTGCTCCCCTAACAACATACCGTGCTATTTGTTGGGCTGATAAACCATGACTGAAATTACTGATGGCTGATTTAGTATGAGAGAAAATTACTATTCATTGACAAAAAAAATACAACTTATAAGCCATACAAATCAAACGAACGAGGTGGTACTAGTATTCTTCAGAACGTGGTCTCTCGATGTTCCAGAGGTCACGAGTAGTAATATAGAACAAGATGCTGGTACGAACTATTAAGGCCCGTTTGGTAGGGCTCCAGCTTCTTAAAAACAGCTCTAGCTCTGAATCTTGTGCTGTAGCAGATTCTCTGATGGAGCTGGAGCTATTTTGGAAAACTGTTTGGCTGAACAGCTCTCCTGTGTCATGAATGGCTAAGACGGGAACAATGTCGAATATGCCCCTGCATGAATAGCTCGCCATGTTTGTTACGTGCTTGCTGAACACCTGAATACGGACCGGAAAATGAAGGGCGCAGACTGGTTTCTTCATCGCCGCTCGGGGTTGCAACGCGCTTCTTGGGCGCGGCCGACCACGGGCACGCCGCCACCTCACGGCCGCCCTCGCAACAGCGCCTTAGGGTCGAGCTCGCCACGCGCGCGCCGCCGGGGCCGATCCGCCCAGCGCCGCCCCGGCCACGCACCAACGCCGGGGTCGGTGGTGTACCAACCAGTTGTCGGCGCCACCACCACGCCAATAACCTCTTAGACGCCGCGCCTGTGGTCACGCCCGCTGCCACCGACGGGGCGGGCAGGCTCACGGCGCGCCGCCGCAAAGACCCACGAGGAGAGCGGAGAAGCCTCCGGCCGTTGCTCCTCCCGAGCCCGCCGCACCCATGGATCCATCTTCATCGCCACCGGATTTGTCGGTCTCCAGAACCCCCTTGCCATCTTGCCTCTCGTGCTGCAGTGCGTCCATGGAGGAGGCGGATGGAGCTCACCTCCAGTCCATGCGGCCTTCAGTCCATGATGCAGAAAGAGATAAGGCTTGGTGGGGAGACGATGGCGGATTGTTGTAATTTCTTGAGAACTTTAGGGGCAAAGGGGTACCATGTCTGCTGAGTCTGACATAGGAGCCGGTGGAAGATCGTTTTTTTGGCTCCGATGGACCTCACTCGTTTGTGAGAGCGCAAAATACAGGGATTCTTCGTGGGAGCACCCCGACCTGTACCCCTTTGATAGCGGGAGCCAAAAAACAGCTTCAGGAGCTGGTGTAGAATCCCTACCAAAGGGGCCCTAATAAGTAAGGGTCACTGTTTTGGATAAGGGTGGAGACTATTCCTAACTACATGGAGGCATGCAGGAGAGCAGCAGTGGTAGTATAAAGCACGCAAGGACAGGGTTGACCCATCGTGCCTGTCCTGGCGACCTCACCTCCGCAGACGGCAGACCGTCCCAACCGTCTCCGCTCCCCTCGCGCCAAACCCAATCCGGCGATCCGCACGTGCGCCGCTCAAGTTCTCCTCCTCCCCTCCCACTCCTCTCCTCTCCTCTCCTCTCTTCCCCACGGTCGGGTCAACCACCCCCACCCGCTGGAAACCGTGCTCGCGCGCGCCCGTAAACAATTGCCGGATCCCCCCACCAAAGAAATGCCGTGGAACCGCGCCGGCCCACGCCCCGCTGTACAGTTGTCGTGCCCGGCCGAGGGCCGAGTAGTTTAATCCTCGAGGGAGGAGGGGGACGGGGGCCGCCCCGGATGGCCGTGTCCTCGTCGCCTTCCTGCAGACCCACTCCCGGGTTTGAGGCGTCCCTCTCCCTCCTCCTCCGCCGCCGCCGCTCTTTCCGGTTGCGTTTGGGAGAAATGGTTGCGGAGTTGGTGGATTCTCATTCTCCGCTGGGGTTTTAGGAGGATTCCGGGGCTCTCGAGTCTCGGCCGGGGGAAGCGGAGCTCGGAGGTTCTGCCGGGCGCACAGAATTGGCGCTGGAGCTCCTGTTTGGTGGTGGTGGGTTTCTGGCTTTCTCTGCTGCTAGGAAATCTGTAGTTTCACGATGTTCTTCTCTTGCGTTTCTCGCACCTCATGTATGGTGTGTGCTGAGTTCTTCTAAATCCCAGGATGGTTGGACTTTGAAGGGACCATTCTTCGTTGAGGAACTTGTGGAAATAATGCTTGATTTTTCATGTCAAAAATTGCATTTTTTTGGGGGGTTAAGTTTTCGGTGTGTTTTCTGCTCTCTGTTGTTTGTAATCGAACAGTGGAGGAACTTGGTTCCAAATAACGGTGTGGATCCGGCGTAGTTTTCGTACTTGCTTGAAAAAAAAATGGAGGTTTCGTACAACTGTTCCCTTTTTTATATTTCCTGTCAGAATTCCAATTCTATGTTTCTTTTCTTTGATGATCTATCAGCATGTTCTCATTCTATTAAATTATGTGTTCAGAGTTGGATTTGGGGGGGGGGGGGAGCTTCCATCGTTCTTCTGCTTTCAAAAGGGGATGTCTTTTTCAGATGACGGAAAGACGAAGGTACGAATTGATGTGCCTATTGTTTCACTTTTGTTCATATCATGGTCATATTGTTTCTGAACTTTCTATCCTTGGCCTTGTTTAGATTGTAAGTTTTTTCACTCTCTCCATCATCAAATCTTTGGACACATAGAGTATTAAATATAGATAAAAAAATAACTAATTACAGAGTTTGATTGTAAATTACGAGACGAATCTTTTGAGCCTAGTTAGACCATGATTGGACAATAATTATCAAATACAAATGAAAGTGCTACACTACACCCCAACCTAAACAAGGCCCTTGTTCCTCCTCCCTCTGTTTTTCTAACTAAATCTTGATTGCATTTGCATAGTTGCAATTAAATGGAGCATTTCACGTAAAAGTGTTCTGCTTTGTACTATAGGGCTGTCAGCCAAACCTTTTTCGGACAAAGGATAAGAAAGTCGCCAAGAGGACAGACCGTGCAGGCTGCTCCACAGGTTAGTTCATCTTCTTTCTGTCAGAAAACTGTATCAGCATTCAATGCTGAGTAGTACGGTAATAAATGGAAAATATATATCTTATTTACCTATTGTCAAATTTCATCCCATCAAAATGAGTAATGGCTGAAGCTGAGGTCAGTTGGCAACCACACAGATATTGTCGATTGAACCTATGTTGACTTTGCAGAACTGTGGATAACTATTCTGTTTGTACAAATGTTGAAATGAAACGAAGAGATCAAACTGAATTCAAATATGTTCATATAGTACTGCACTTGATATCTTCATTCTAGAAGTTCAACATTTTATACAAACTGGATGCGGTACAACTTTGCTAGTTTATCCTGATAATATAGTACTAACCAACTGTCCCGTGTTCTCTTGTATATTGTAGCTAAGTGTGGATCAAGCAACTCAAAGTCACCATCTTCATCCCCCTTCCGGAAACTTTCAGGTTGATTTTCTATCTGCCAATTTTGCTCATGAGCTAACTCCACTGACAGTACAGAACTACAGATTTAATTTGACTTTTTTTTTTTTTGTGTGTGTTTTTTTGGACTAAATGAGAGCAGAAGTTAGGAGCATACGTCTCAGCCATTTTCTAAGTCAGTCTTCAAATGCTACTAAATATGAACATGTTAGGTAAGAGAATTAATGTTGCATGTTCAGTTATACATGAAAAACAGAACAGCTCCTTATTCTTTAGTTCCTTGTTTAGGATATTTGTCTCCACATGGAATGTTGGAGGAAAAGCGCCTACTGCCGAGTTGAAACTGGATGACTTTCTTCCTGCTGATGACAATTCAGATATTTATGTTTTAGGGTAACCAGTCTCGTCACTACTCTGAACCTTATCCATGTCAATGTTGTCAATTGTGGTGCTAACATTATCTCAGAAAAATGTGTAATACCCCATATGTTCTGTTCCTTATTTCGTACTTGTGTTTAGTATTCAGTGTAGTCGATCCAGGTGTCCCCCCCACCCCCAACTTTAAAAAAAATATTCAGTGTAGCCAAGATTTTCTTGATTTCTTATCTACCTTGGTCTATTTGACTGCAATTGACATTCTCGTGTTTATTTGTGCTTTCCAAATGAGGCTTTAACTTCCCTTCATGTTTTTTCTGAACATGGAGAATTAGGTCATTTTTTTAACGAACGAGTCACTGTATTGAGAAGGTGAAACAGTCCGATTACAAACCCATGGAGAATATGTCCTCTTTTAATATATGCCTGGCAAAATCATGCCAGTGATTTTCGAAGAAAAACATAACCATGGAGAATATAAAAACAAAGGAAAACTAATAAGGATCGGAATTTATTTATATTTCATAAGTTAATGGAATATGCCATCCTATTACTTATTTTATTTGATCTTTTAACAGTTTTCAGGAAATTGTGCCTCTTAATGCTGGTAATGTCCTTGTGATAGAAGATAACGAACCAGCTGCAAGATGGCTTGCTCTTATAAATCGTGCGCTAAATCAACCAGCTGACACTGATGCTGATATATTTCAGCACAGACCGTCTCCCTCCCTGGATTCAACCTCATCCCAGTCAACACCAGGCCTTGATGGTCCGTTCTCCAACCGTTCAAGAACAGCCAGTGGTTCTATAATCTTCCAAAAGTCCTTGAAATCCATCAGGAAATCTTACATGCCATCCCAGAGAAAACAGCTCAAATTCTGCAATTGCCCAGTGGAAATGGCCAAGAAATCCTACAAAGATGCTTGCTTTCGATGCCCACGGCTACAAGCATATGCCAATGAAATGGACTCTTCAGAAGAGGATGAATTGGAAGACAAATTGAATGATATATTTGGCCTTAATGATGATGGTGTTACTTCGTCTGCTTCTGCCTCCAGGGACCAGCTAAAGTATAACCTCATATCTTGCAAACAAATGGTTGGTATTTTTGTCACAGTCTGGGCAAAGAAAGAACTAGTGCAGCATATAGGACATTTGAGAACGTCCTGTGTTGGTCGTGGAATAATGGGATATCTTGGAAACAAGGTAAGAGGCAAAAAGAAATTATCTGAAAGCATTTTCTAGAGTGTAGCAGATCCCTTAAGTGATACAATTCTTGTTGATGCAGGGATGTATATCAGTAAGCATGACACTGTACCAGACAAGCTTTTGTTTCATCTGCAGCCATTTGGCTTCAGGTGAGAAGGAAGGCGATGAATTGAGGCGGAATTTAGATGTGTTAGAGATTCTAAGGCTCACACAATTTCGAAGGATTTGCAGAAGAGCTGGGCGAAGAATCCCTGAGAAAATTCTTGACCATGAGTAAGAAATTTAGCCCACAAATGCTTTAAGTTTTTCTTACTGCCTACTTTTAAAAAAAAAAAAGGTTTTTTGTTTTTCTTACTGCCTACTGTTTTTTTATTCACATGATCTTTTTTCAGGCGGGTAATATGGTTAGGAGACCTGAACTACCGAATTTCCTTGAGCTATGAAGATACCAAAAAACTTCTGACTGAAAATAACTGGGATGCCCTTTTTGAAAAGGATCAGGTGAACTCCTCAAAATAAAGCTTTTCTTTTCTAGAAGGAAGACTAGTTATAGAATAAGAAACCAGTCCGGTTTTTATTTTATATCATGGTGAAATGATATTAGAATTCACTGACATTTTACACATTTTCTCAGCTCAATATTCAGCGTGCGTCTGGAAGTGTGTTCAAGGGGTGGAGTGAGGAGAAGATATATTTTGCTCCCACATACAAGTACTCTTGCAACTCAGATTCTTATGCTGGAGAGACTGCCACATCAAAGAAAAAGAGGAGAACCCCAGCCTGGTATGTAGTACTATGTTTGAGATGGTTTCAGAAAGTTCAGATCTCATATTTTTACACTTGTCGGTGGCTATGAAGTATCCTAGAGTCCACAAACCTCTTTGCAACCCGAAAACCTTGCATTTCCCCTTTCTGTACCACAAGAACCATCTTTCGAGATGAATTAAATCAGATTTGGATAGTAATCTAGTTGTAAGTGTGGATAACATAAAAGAGGAATCATTCTCATGTGCAGTAAAAAAAAAAATCAAGCTGATTCACATATTCTGTGTTCATGAATTATACTTCCCAAAAATTGAGTACACAGTTGGCTGCATGTGTCACTACCGCCTTTTTCATGCCAACTATGGGTATAATGTGGTACTTGTTCAATCAACTGTTCCATGAAATACATAATACTAGTTAATGACCGGTTTGTTGCAAATATTCAGGTGTGATAGAATACTATGGCATGGAGATGGTATTGCACAGTTATCGTACTTCCGGGGGGAATCTCAATTCTCTGACCATCGTCCTGTTTGTGGAACATTTATTGTTGAGGCTGAAAGGCTAGATGGCAAATCAAAGCGGCGTTCATCAAATACTAACATTAGAATCGGTGCTGAAGAGCTGTTACCGACAAGCGACAAGCATAACTAAGGTATGTCTTCAGTCTTCTTGATATTGCATTAATCTCTGCAGGCACTGCAGCAATTTACATGTCTTTAAGCAGAGCACAAAACACTGCGCTAGACTAGTAAAGCATACTCTATGGCTAACTACTATTATGGATATGACACTGCAGGTGCTGGGGCCTAAATCACCGATCAAAACTAGGTTTTTGTGTGATTCAGGAACACAACACTGCAGAACCTTCGCAAGGACGCCTAGGTATCTGTTCCTCAGGGAAATTTTCTGTGACCAAAGAAGTATGATTAGAGATCATATGATTATTATTATGTTGTTGTTGTTGTACAACATGTAATTGCATACAGTTTCGATAGGAGTAGCTAGTCATTAGTTTATATATATATATATAGTATACCTGTAAAATGTCCTCACAAGGTTGTTTTGGTTCATTTCCGTACTTCTTTCCTTTGTGTACTTTTCAAAGTTCAACAGAGTAACCAAAGGATTTTTTCCTTTCTTTTCTGTACTGTACTAAGTTTGTATTTTGACCTTTGTTTGTAGGGTCAAGTTTTGAGTTTGTCTAAAACAGAGTCTTACTGGAAGGAGACATTATTTTAAGTGTACAATATATCATTTATTCCATATCTTGATTTTTAGATGGTTTAACTACTGTGAATGGATATATCATTTTGTCTGTGTTTATATCTTGCTTTCAAAAATCTTGTTGATCAAATAATCGAGCAAATCAGAGTAGACTGCAGAGGCAAGCGTTTACATTACAGAGTGAGGGAGGGGGGAGAGATTACATGCTAAACAGATTACACCACTCCTTGGTTACATGACATAAGTTATGGGGAAGCCTGCAGGCCCATGAAGTTGTCGCGTCTTTGCCGCTCCTAGCAGACTTGGTTGCAGTTTCCAGAACACAACATCGTTGCGGTGTTTCCAGAGTTCCCAGCAACACAAGAGGAGAAAGGTCAGGGCTGTATTTGCAGGGATGTGTGGAGGAAGCGAAGACGACTGAAGCTCTCTGACTGAGGCAATTTGGGTGCCATCGCCACACACATGCTTCCAGAATTTCCTGGCAACCAGACATTGGAAGATAATGTGCGGCGTCTTCAATTGCTTCATGGCACAGGTCACAGTTGCCGTCGTCAACAATGGACTTTCGCATAAGACTTGCCTTGCATTCGGATGCGGTTTGAATCAGGAGCCATCCGAAGAACTTGACCCTGGGTGGTGCATAGCATACCTGCGCCAAACAAAAGTATGCTAGTCCGATCCCTCTCTCGTGCGGACTGAGGTTCTGTAAACATGCTCCGCCAGGATTTTGTTACATCTTCAAAGCAGCAAAATCTTTGGTCAGGAGATCGTCAAGTTCCATTGTAGCTGCAGCCTGCAGCAAGCTCAGCGCTGGCTACTTTGGATAGACGGGGAATGCAGTGTGCTTCGGAGGCCACACCACACCGCATGACAGACCTGACACAGATATCTGCATCTCGGGCGTGACTAAAAAGAGCTGGACAGGTAGATGATACGGTCTTTACTCTAACCATTTATCGAACCAAAACGATGTGAATGCACAGCCTGAGGACAAGGTTACTTAGTTATAAATTAAATCATAAGAACTAAATTAGACAATAATTAATCTTTTTTGTCTACATAAAGTTATTATTATTATTATGTGGTATCATATATTATATTTTTCATTTCTATTAGTTTTCGATAATGCTACAAAACATACGTCCGGAATCTAAAAAAAAATCGAACGCTCTGCTCTGCACTCGCTCCAGCACAGCGACCGCCTAACAAACTCATCTACGCTCTCTCATCTATCTACTCCATCTATACTGCGACAACCGACAGAAATCCTCACCTCCTCGCTTCGCTCGTTGTAGCTCACCGCACCGCCGCCGCCCTAAGCCGCCTTGCGGCGGCGCCCCCATCCCATGTCTAGCCTCGTCGCGTCGTGCCTCGTCCCTCGCTGTGTCGAGGTGTTGTCGACGTCGCCGTTCCCCACTAGGAGGTCATGGTCGCTGTCGACGCCAGCACCGCCACGACGCTCGACCTCAGCTCAAGACGTCACAAGATCCAGAGTGGCCAGACCCGGAGCGGGCTTCTCTAGCTGCACCTCGCGCTCCTTTCCTTACTCGGATGTTGCAAGCGCGTGTTGCAAACATATGTTTCAAGTATTTCAGGTGTTTCATATGCATGTTGCAAGTGTTTCATGTGGATGTTGCAAAAGTAGATCATGATGTTGTATATGTTGCAATGGCTACACACATATGTTGCAAGCGTCTGTTCCAAATGTTCCAGTTATTTCAGACGGATGTTGCACGTGTTTTATCTGGGTGTCGCATATGTTTCATACTTATGTTGCAAGTGTTTCATCCGGATGTTGTGTGTGTTTTCACGCATATGTTGCAAGTGTTTTGTCTAGATGTTGTATATGTTTTGCAATGGCTACACACGTGTTTTCCTCGTGTTTCAGACGTATGTTGCAAGTGTTTCAACTGTTTTAGACGTATATTGCAAATGTTTCCTCTAGATATTGCAAAATTAGATCTGGTGTTGCACGTGTTGTAGTGGACCTCATCTGCAGCAGCTGCCTGTGCAGCTGGGCCCGTCTGCATGCGCTTGGGTGTGGAGGGGGTGCGAGCGGCAAGCGCGGGAAATCGTATGGGTGCAGATCGAAACAATGCGGGCATGAGACACGGAGACGGGACCCCACGTGAAGCAAGCGTGCGCGCACAGGCATTCGGACGCTAGCCTCCGTCCAGACGTCTAGACGCTAGCCTTTTCAATTAGTTTTTATTATTATTATGTATTATCATATCTCACGTTCTTTTCTAAACTGTTGTATAGGCTCTCATATCCCGCTCTTCTTTCTCTTCTTCTCTTTTTCGCATCAGAAAAAATACTGGCTGGCTGCTCAGTTGCTCACTACGGTTAGAATTTTTTACGAAATAATAATAAAAATTTATTTTAAATAAAAAACGAATTAATTAATAATCCAAGCAAAGGCGGAGAGGCTGTAATAAAGAGTGTTAAAGACTCTCGATTCCTTCCGTCGCGCGCTGGCCGTTCGATCGACGGGGCGCGCATTTGAGCGGTGGGGGTCTCTGCTCCCTAGTCCCTACCCGTGGAACGTGGCGACCACTCGCCGCCGCTGTGCCTGTGCTCGCGTCACCGCGCGCCGCCGCCCGCCCAGCTCTTCCCCCCCTCTTCTTCCGGGACAAGCGATCTCCCTCCCTCCCCTCCCCTTTCCCTTCCCCGTGGGCGAGAGATTTTTTTTTCTCTGTTGCAATGAAGAGTTCTCCATGGGCGGGGGCCCGCCCTCCTGCCGTCGTGCAGCTCCTCCTCTTCCTCGCCTACCTCGTCGGCCGCGGCGGCGCTGCCGGGGGAGGCGGCAAGGGCAGCTCAGTGTACCCGGCGGCCGTCGTCTACCCGCATCACTCCCTCCAGATCTCCTGGAAACCCAGGTAGGTAACCCTCATCACCGTTCCATCGCTCGGTGGTTCTGCCTGTATGCCATCTCGATTTCATCGAAAACAAAATGAGATGTGTCTGACTGGCGATCCATGGTGCTTGTACGGCCCAGGGTGTTCCTGTACCAGCACTTCCTCAGCGACGACGAGGCCAACCACCTCATGTCCCTCGTCAGTGCCACTCTCCCGCCCCCAATCCCACAGAACGCTTGTCTTCGCTTCTCGATAATGCCCAGGCTCGACTGAATTTTGGGATTTCCTCGCTTTCATCTCTTCAGGCGAGAGCAGAGCTCAAGAGGTCGGCGGTCGCTGATAATATGTCCGGCAAGAGCACGCTCAGCGACGTCCGCACCAGCTCCGGCACCTTCCTCAGGAAAGGCCAGGTTAGGCCCTTCTTACTTTCACTGTTTGGTTAGACTGTCTCTGCTAAACAAAACCCTTTACCCGGGCTGGCATAGCAATCGTACATGCAAACATTGTTTTATAAAGGATATGCCATAGATATTGCACAATGGAATTGCATCATCCCCAACAAGAGGCATCTCACTAGTTCGAGCATCCAAATTACCCTTGGAACGTTGGAATGCATACTTTTTCAATGAATGTGTTTGCCTGTTGCTCGTCCTAACTAGCGGATATAGTTGCTTTGTGTTCAAATCAGGCTACAGCCCATTTTAGCCTGTTGGCCATGGTGAGTACTTGAATCAACTTTATCGGTGTACAAGATATTCCTGAAGAGGCCAAGAGGGGCAAGCAAAAATCAGAAAATGCTGTTGTGATTGAATGAACTAGAAGAATACCCTGCGCGTTGCCGTGGGACTTTCTTAGTAGAAATATTTTTTTATATGTAACATTACTATATGGTACCCTACTATACATATATATGAGATTGGCTTGCATATTATTTCATTGCATCGGATTTTGTAAAAATGGGTAACCTAATGGAAGAAAAGCCAATAGAATATTAGATCCCATTATAGATGAATAGGATGATAAAACAAATATCATATGTAAATGACTTATGTTGATAGATTAAATATTAATAGTATTATGCATAATAGAGATGATATGAACAACTTTTACAATTAATAAGGGATGACATGGATAGCTTGCATGAAAAGGTTTGTAAGTGGGGCACTTAGTGGGGAATGATGTGGACACTTTGCATGAAGAAATAAAACATCTAGCGGGGTTTGGCTTTATAGGAGTATATAGATGAGAATCGGGAATTCTGAAATATTATATAAAGCTTTCCGATACTGCCATTTAGCCCTATGACCCGAATTCCCCTATGGCCCAAATTTATAATTCTGATTGCTGGAACTGCTACTTTGAATCAGAGTTCCCCCTCCCTTTAGGATTACGAGTTCGTACCTCAGTGTGTATTTATGTTTCATTGCATAGGCAGGGAAGACAATAGTCTTCTGATCGATCTGGTCTATTAGTGAATGCCGAGCATCTCCTTGGCATGCATATTAGAATGAAAGATGGGATTTGACTGTATCTTTATGGGAATTTTTCATGTTCTTCCGTCAAAATAGA